GATTCGAACCCGCCACCTTAGGTGTACGTGGCTGGCGCCTTAGCCAGTTGAGCTATAGGCGCCGAGCCAACTTTCCTTTTTTTTAATGTCTATACTACCCAAAGTTATTTACAGATTCAGTGCAATCCCCATTAAAATATCAAAGTCATTTTTCACAGATGTAGGAAAAAATAGTTCTTTTGCTTCATGTGGAACCAGAAAAGACCCCAAATAGCCAACGCAACCCTACATAGTAAGAACAAATTGGAAGGCATCACTTTACCAGACTTCAAGTTATACTACAAGGTTATAGTAACTCAAACAATGTGGTCCTGGCACATAAATAAAGACACAGACCCGTGGAAGAGAACAGAGACCCCAAGTAAGAAAGCATCTGCTTATTCCCATCTGATTTTTGACAAAGCAGACAAAAACATACACTGGCAAAAACAATTTATATTCAATAAATACTGCTGGGAAAACTGGACAGCCACATGTAAAAGACTGAAATAAGATCCATACCTCTCACCAGTGACAAAAATTAATTCACAAGGGATAAATGACTTAAACCTAAGACATGAAACTATAAGAATTCTAGAAGAAAATGTTAGAAAAACTCTTATAGATACTGGCCTACGCAAAGAATTTATGAAGAAGACCATAGAGGTATTCACCGCAAGAACAAAAATAGACAAATGGAACCTGATCAAATTACAGTTTCTGCACAGCCACGGATACCTTACACCAAACAGACAACCAACAGAATGGGAGAAAATATTCATAAGCTATACACCCAATAAAGGGCTTATAACCAGGCAGCGCCTGTGCCTTATTGAGTAAGGTGCCGGCTCCATATACCAAGGGTGGCAGGTTCAAACCCGGCCCTGGTCACACTGCAACAAAAAAGCATTACAGTGGGCACCTGTAGTCCCAGCTACTCAGGAGGCTGAGACAAGAGAATCACCTAAGCCCAGGTGTAGGAGGTTGCTGTGAGCTGTGTGATGCCATGGCACTCTACTGAGGGCAATAAAGTGAGACTGTCTCTACAAAAAAAAAAAAAAAAAGGCTTATAACCAAGAATCTACAAAGAACTCAAGCAAATCAGCAATGAAAAAAAATCAAACAACCCCATTAAAAAATGGGCAAATGACATGAGCAAAAACTTTTCATATAGACTAATGGGCAAAAAAGGCATGAGAAAAATGTTCAACGTCTTTGATCATCAGAGAAATGCAAATCAAAAAATCAAAACCACAATGAGATATCACCTAACCCCAGTGAGAACACTTCTTATCAAAAAGTCTCAGAACAACAGACACCGGTATAGATGTGGACAGAAATGGACACTCATACACTGCTGGTGAGACTGCAAACTAGTATATCCTCTACAGAAAATAGTATGGAGATACATCAAAGAACTAAAAGTAGAACTAACATTTGATCCAGCAATCCTACTACACTAGGTATTTACCCAAAGGAAAAAAGACATTTTATTAAAAAGACGCATGCACTGGGATGTATGTACTGCAGTAAAATTCACAATCACAAAGATGTGGAAATAACTCAAGCACCCATCAATACATGAACAGATTAATGAAACGCGGTATATGTATACCATAAAGCACACATACCACCCAGCCATGAAAAAACAGTGACCTAGTATCCTTTGTAACAACCTGCATGGAACTGGAGACCATTCTTCTTCTTCTTCTTTTTTTTTTTTTTGTAGTTTGGTTGGGGCCAGGTTTGAACCCCCAGCCTTGGTATATGGTGCCACCCCATTCTTCTAAAAGAAGTAGTGCAAGAACAGAAAAACAACCACCACGTGTACTCAATACTAAATTGAAACCAGCTGATCAACACATACGTGCACATGTGGAAGTAAAATGCAATAGAAATCCAGTACATGGGAAGGGGAAGAAGAGGATGGGTAAATACATGTCTAACGGGTACGGTGCACACTTTCCAGGTGAAGGGCACACTTATATTTCTGACTTTAAATGTATAAAGCAAATTATGTAACCAAAACATGTGCATCTCTGTAATAGTCTGAAATTTAAAAAAAAAACAGAATTTTTTTTTGGTGGCAAGTAGGCTTACGGCATGTTATTCAGAACAGAAGGGACTTATGAGCACAAACTCCATCGTTTTATTGCCTGGAGTTGAGGCTTAAGAGCTGTGACGCCAAGGACAAGCTGTGTTATTTAACTCTCTGTGCCTCAGTCCCCTTACCTGTGAAATCAAAATAGTACTAGTATCTACCTTGTTGATTGTGTGATAATTAAATGTTAGTATATGAAAAACTCACAGAAGGGGGGGCAGGCAATATAGTAAGCAAAAATTTTAAGAATCTACTATCATTTGGGGGATCATTGTTGAAATGATCATCCATGTGGTCTTGTAATTTTAAATTACAGATTAGAAGATAATATAAGGTACACGTTGTGAGGGTGCTGATTTTCTGTTTGTTAGAAAATGACTAAATTAAGTTAAAAATGCTTATTACTTGCAAAGCGAGGGTGGTTAAGTGAGAGCTTATCTACTTTGGGGACAGCCGTGGACAACATATTGCACACTGGCACATTCCTAGGCTTGCTCCAAAGTGACACAGTGTTTTGTCAAAATTCACATGGTCAATTGCCTCTCCTATGTCGAATAAATGCTTGCCAAACAAAAGAAGACACAAGTCCAGCCAAGTGCCTGAAGGCGCATGCACCCAAAACACAAGGAAGCATGGAGAGGGGAATTCCCAGAGATACCAAAGCAAAGGCAAGTTCCCAGGATTTTTTCATATCAAAAGATACGTAAGGATAGCTGCCATCACGTCTATTCCTCAGGATGAAAGATGGAGTCTGAGGAAGGCTCCCAATTTAAAGACAAGAAAAGAAGCCATGTCAACTAATCAAGAACCATCTACACAGGAGCCTCAACCAGAAGAGAGCTGGGAAGGAGATCAGGAGACCAAAGTCTGGCCCAGGGTCTGTCCATAATTATGTGACACTGGGCAAGTCCCTTTACATTATTACATTATGTGTAATAAAATATAGAAAGAAAATGACATTAAAAAAATAAAAACGAAACAATAAACGTATTCAGTGCTTATCATATGTTTACTGCTACCAACATCTCATGAATTCCCATGCCAGTCCAAAGAGTTAGGTATTACCCCTTTAGAAGCAAAGAGCTTGGGCTCAATCCAAACAACAGCTAAAGCTTACTAAACAGCTGTATATTAAGTCATTTACACTGCACATTAACTGTATGGAATGGGGACTATTACTATTTAGCACAGAGAGGTGATATAACCCCTCCAGAGCATGGAACCCCAATCACTAAGCAATGCCAATAAGGAGAGCAAGGGCCAAGATTCAGATCCAAGCTAAGCATTACAAAGCTGTAAACATAACTTCTGTGGCACTAAATCAGGACAGGCAAATAGGCAGACAGTAGACCAAACTAAGTGATTTTATTTAATAGAAATTAACATATTTTAAACTGAAATTCTACCTTTCTAATTTTGCTTTAAAAACTAGGAGTTTGGGCAACTCTAGACTAACATGCCTACATAGACATGGGACACGGTTATCCCAATTTACCACAGTCCCCCCCAAATTCTAGACTACTTCCATGTGGCTAACTTTCTCTCTGTATGTTACCTGCCTAGGTAACCCCAGCCCAAACTGCCAACGCAAAGAATCCTAAAGGTATTAAAGTTTGCTATTGCTACACAGCCTATATCCTCTTCATCATGGTCTATGACTCTACAGCAATGATTTTCTTTTTTTGTTTATTTTAGTGAGAGTCTCACTACGTCACCCTCAGTAGAGTGGCGTAGCATCTCACAGCTCACAGCAACCTCCAACGCCTGGGCTCAAGCGATTCTCTTGCCTCTCCTTCCCAAGTAGCTGGACTACAGGCACCCACCATAATGCCCAGCTATTTTTTTTGGTTGCAGCTGTCATTGTTGTTTGGCGGAACCAGGCTAGATTTGAACCCGCTAGCTCAGGTGTATGTGGCTGGTGCCTTAGCCGCTTGAGCCACAGGCGCCAAGCCAGCAATGACTTTCAATTAGTGTGCTATGAGAAGATCTTAGGTGTGCCGTAAAAATTTTAAAGATCATTAATTATTTTCAAAAGCAATTCAAAGCACTGTTATTTGCTTTTTTTTTTTTT